TAAGCCCTTTTCATATTGCATGTTACACTTACACTGTGTTTTTGTATTAAAATTATGAAAATTGACAAGTTAAAAGCCCAGCTTTTAGAGTCATCTAAAAAGAGCTCTCCACACTGCTAGTTAGATTAATTTTGATTGGTCTAAGTAGTTAGAAGCCAAAATTGTAAAAGGGCGCAAAATTAGCATATTGGCATAATAATTAGCATAATAATAATAATAACATTTGACCATCTGAGTGAATATTTACAGATGTGTAAAACAGTGTAAAGAGAGCCACAGACACAGATGGATGAAGTGTGGTAAATCAAATGACCTTCATTTCAAAAGTAGACCCCAGTATGAGAATTAGCAATAGTAATTCCATCTTTATCTTTAAAATGAAAAAGGCACCCTATTTCAACAAACCAAGGGTTTCTTCAGGATTTGGGGTACAGGAAGTTGAAAATGTGATTATGTAATTTGGTCATTGATTTACTGGGAATCCAACCCAAGCAAGCCTAACCAACCAACCCAAAATTTTTAAAAGCCATCCACCATCTTTGAAAATGTAAGCCGTCTTTTGAGGCTAATGACTGTCCAATTATTAGCTTGACACATCTGTGGGGAGAGCCTTGCACCACACTCATAATCATGTCTTCTCCTTCAGATCCTGGACCTCCAGACCAAGATCACATCTCTGGTTGCTCACGACCCGGACACCAACGTGACGATCAGCCTGGAAGACATCTGCTACAAGCCTCTCAGTCCCGACAACAACCACTGCACCATCATGTCTGTCCTGAACTACTTCCAGAATAACGTCACCCGCCTGGAGTACACCGCCTGGGATGGATACCACCTCCAGGAACTGGGCGACTATTTCGACCATCTCTTGTCCTGTGCCAGGTGGGTAGGGCATGCTGTAGGTTTGTTTGTTTGTTAAGAAATGAAGTGAAATAAAGAAGCTAAGGTGTGTGTGTGTGTGTGTGTGTGTGTGTGTGTGTGTGTGTGTGTGTGTATGTGTGCGTGCATGTGAGGGAGAGAGATTCAGGGCCCCGTATCTCAAAAGTATCGCGTATTGTGAATCGCTATATTAAATAGAGGCTACAATGTATTATATGGGACGAGTATGGGCGAGTTATGGAATCGAGACGCTTGCACACGGTCGCAACATAGCAAAGCTTTCGAGATACGGGTCCCTGATTGATTTATTTCAGATTGCCTTCACATATTAAGTTTGTACATTCATAGAGAACTAAACCTTATCATCACACAAGTAAATAGATAACACAGTTTCAGAAATACATAAATATATTGAGAGAGAGACACACTTCTTGTAATTATTATCTAATATTAAATTTTCTATATTCACAGAGGTCCAACCAATCCCACAGATACTGCTCTGACTAAGTTACCTTGCCTTGCAGAGTTTGGAGGGCCAGTGTTACCTTGGGTGGCTTTGGGAGGATTTGAAGGTAGTGTCTTGATCTGTGTTGCCATCTATCCTATTGTGTATTTTGTTGGAAATTGAAAGGCATGAGTGATGAGTGAAATAAACCCTTTGACACTACAGTAGAAAGGAATTATAACAAAAAGCACAACCCTTGAATGAGAAGCTGAATTCCATGTCTCTTGTAAATTAATTTCTTTTTGTTGATATTTACATGTACAATTAATGTTTTATATCAATATTAGGTGACAATTATGAAGATGCTACAGCTTTGGTTGTCACCTTTATTGTCAACAATCATGTGAAGGACAGCGACCAAAAAAATGCCACGTTGTGGGAGCAGGTGTACTTGGACTTTATGAAGGAATACGTGAAGAAGGAAAGGGATTTTACTGTGGCTTACTCAGCTGAGGTGGGGTTTATCTAGCTCTCTCTCTCTCTCTCTCTCTCTCTCTCTCTCTCTCATCAAACAACACTCAGATCAAACCACAAATTGAAATGAATTATTGTTTCTTTATGTATCTCTCTCTCAGACCCCTTGTTTTTCATATATTTTAGGTTTTGTATAATGCAATTTATTGATAGATTTATCCATTTTTGCAGCGTTCCATTCAAGACGAGATCAACCGAGAGAGCAACTCTGATGTCTTGACCATATTAATAAGCTACTTGATCATGTTTGCATACATCACTATATCGCTAGGAGAGGCCAACAGCTGTGATACAGTCAGATTACTGGTAAGTCTTGAGAGAGAGAGAGAATAGTATCTATCAGTGTTAGAAATTAAGGGTGGATCGTCTGCCAGGGGCTGACAACTTTCAGAATGGGCTGAGAAGTTTTCCCACCTGGCAGACATTCAATCCAGCTACTTTTCAAGATGGCTGGACTTTCGGTCCAGCTACTAATTTTCCTAAGAGGCAAACACTGGTGTATATAGTAGAGACAGTTTATCCTTTAAAAAAAGTTCCAATGGTCTAAGAAACAGAGTAAGTGATGATGACTAAATAGTGTGTATTTATTTCTGTTTCAGATTGACAGTAAGATCACTCTGGGTTTCGCGGGAGTTCTCATCGTGTTTCTGTCCGTGATCAGCTCACTGGGGTTCTACAGTTACATAGGTGTCCCCATGACCCTCATCATCATTGAGGTCATCCCCTTCCTCGTCCTGGCCGTCGGGGTGGATAACATCTTCATACTGGTACAGGCCTACCAAGTAAGTGTAGGGCAAAGTTTTGTTTAAGAATTGATTCTGAAGTCATCGCCAAGTTTGTGCTTGGACCTGTAGCCAGCAATTTCTGAAGAGGGGTTCTTTTTCTGAAAAATGTGGACCTTTGTTACACTCCTTAGTTGACCTTCATTTACATAAAACATGGAATCAAGATAAGATGTCAGATTCAGAGCAGTTTTATCCATCCCCCTTCCCCTTATCTATTAAAAGTTGCAATTATGTAAGTTTGTTAAAAAAAACAGCTAAGTATAGGCTTTTATCTCCAGCATTTCACTCACCTCGGCCAGCAAGACACACTCTCCAGGGAATGAGACAACTAAATAGTTGAAAACTTATGAATATTTCAATACATCACATTAATTTATCTTGTTATCTCCAGCGCTCCCAGCGCCGCCACAACGAGTCCAGAGAGGAGCAGCTGGGGAGAATTGTGGGTAAAGTGGGCCCCAGTATGCTGTTGACCAGCTCCTCTGAAACCCTCGCCTTTTTCTTGGGTGAGTTGTTTGAATATGTCAGTGTATCTGATATTAGCATGCAGTAACCTTGCTCAAATAGACTGCAGTTTCAGTTGTTACATATGCATGCACGAACATATATTTCATATCTTAAAATCACCAGCATATGAATAATTTTTGTTATTACCACCTCACCTTGCACTGTCAAGTTGCTGAACAGCAGAGGTATTCATGTGCAAATACACATAATGTGCATACATACACACATACATGCACATGCGCTTGATTCTGTGTTGTTTGAGGTAAAATACAAATATGAAGTAATTTATGTGTAATAATATATGTGTAATAATATATATTTATTAGTCATAACTTTTAAGTTGAAGTAATTTTAAACCAAACCCTTGACCCCCGCCTCCCTCTTCCCCCCCAGGTGCCCTGATAGACATGCCAGCTGTAAGGATCTTCTCTCTGTACGCCGCCCAGGCCGTACTCTTCAACTTCCTGCTACAGATTTCAGTGTTTGTGGCTCTGCTGTCTCTAGATGTCAAGAGACAAGAGGTAAGTTACTGGGAAAATATTTGGTGAATGCTCAAATGATTTTTTCCTCTCTAGTAGGTTGGTCATTAAGACAAAAGAAGAGCAAGGAAGAAAGAAAAAAATGTCATAGGAACATAATCTGTTTGATAGTACAGTGATGTTATTGACAAAGACAAGATAACAGATGCACTACTTGTATTTTTACATGATTATCTTTTTGTTATCAGAATAACCGCATTGATGTGGCCTGCTGCGTCAAAGTCGGGAAGTCCATTCCTCCCAAACAGGACAGCTATTTACTGGCCTGCTTCAAGAATTACTATGCACCTTTCCTGATGAGTGACTGGGTCAGGCCTTCTGTGGTATGTAGACTTGTATTGTGTTAGGTGTGACTGTTTTGTGAGAAATTGGGTGAGATTGAATTGTTTTGGTTGTGTTAGTTGAGATGCTATCAATTTGTTGTGTCTGACCATCTGTGATGAATACACCAGCATTGTGTAAGGTGTGATAGTGTTTTGAAGAATGGGTGAGATTTTTGTTTTATATTGATTGCATCAGCTGAGACTGTTCTCTGTGAAACTTCAGCACTTGGACTTTGTCACAAGATGGCTTTGAGTACAATAATAAATGCAGTGGAAAAATGTCAAATGATGGTCAAAAGTATTACAGTTATATTATTGTTAAGTACAAATAATTATGAGTTGTTTGATAAATATTTAGGATAGATTTTGAAATCATTTTTTCCTCATTTTCTTTCAGATTGTGATATTTGTTGGCTGGTGCTGTGCCAGTCTTGCCATGGTGCCTAAGTTAAGCACTGGCTTAGATCAGAAACTGTCCATGCCCAGAGTAAGTACACATACTAAGTATGTAAGTTTCACAAATATGTAAGCTTCAGTTGGGTTAAGGGGAGTGGTACAGGTACAGGTAATAGGAAAATTTGCCTGAGGACCTTGTTCACATGACACAAAGTTTTGAGTATTTCCGCGTGTTGCATTTGTGCCACAAGTATCCAGTCAAAGTAATTTTCTATGAATTGCTTGCACAGTGTCTCCCTCGAAATGAATATAATGGGTGCTTATTGCATATCATTAAAAATTCATAATATAGATTATGAATGATGGTTTTCCAGGGTTCTTCCAAAACAATTTGTTGAAAATTGATTACAAAAAATATTAGTTTCAAGGAATCTAACAGTACATCTATTGAAAAATAGTCACAAAGAATTAAAATTGTTTATCCAGGATTCTTACGTTCTGACCTACTTTGACGCCATGGCCAAGTACCTGTCAGTGGGTCCACCCGTCTACTTTGTGGTGAAGGACGGCTATGATTACAGCACTCTGGAAGGACAGAACTGGATATGTGGACTACCTGGCTGTCATCAGGACTCACTGATTGGACAGATTTCACTGGCTTCAAAGTTTAGTAATGTGTAAGGGACAAGTTTGAATTTCATTTGTGTATTTTATTTTATTTTATTTTATTTTATTTTATTTTATTTTATTTTTGCTTGCTGAGATAAAGTTTGACTGGGTTGAAGAATTAAGAATGTGTTAATAAGAAATATTTTTTATGCTGACCAAATGTTTGAAATTTATTGGTTTCATTTTTGAAAACATATGAAAAGACAAATAGCTATTAATAGTTCTGTGCAAAAACTGTGTTAGCCAGACTACATTAATAATAATAATGATTTTTATTTGCAACTAAAAGTTGGATGGTACATACTTAATTATAGTAAAATGGTAATTCCAAATAAATCATTGAAATATATTACATTTTAAAAGATGTTTAAAGATATTTTCATTATAAAGAAATGCATTAAAAATGAATCTTTGGTTGTATTTACTGATGTCCATGTGTTGTGTCCAGCTCCAGGATAGCCCAGCCTGCCAGCTCCTGGCTAGATGACTACTTTGCCTGGTTAAAACCTGGAGGAAGTCCTCCTTGCTGCCGAGCCATCAAAGATGACCATGGGAAGGAGGTGCTCTGTCCCTCACTAGGTCAGTGTGGTCTGTTGTCACACCTAACACATTCAGGGTGTTGTCTGTCTTGTCTTATGTATGTTGCTGTCATACCTAATGCATTCATTGTGTTCTCTGTCTTGTCTTATTTGTGCTGCTGTCGCACCTAACACATTTCTGTCATTGTCACATCTAACACATTTAATGTGTTCTCTGCCTCGTCTAATGTGCTGTGTTGTCAAATTTATGACATTTTCATTTTGAGATTCAGGTTATATGAGATTTGTCAGGTTCCTGACTATGATTTTCAAATGAATGGCAACTTTCTTGTGATTTTACTCACTTGATATTGTCTGATGGTATTGCTGTTTTTTATTCCAGTTGACAACAGTTCCTGTTACAAGTGTAATACCAGTATCACTCGGGACCATCCTGATAAAGACACCTTTGTCCGCTACTTGCCTTGGTTTCTGGAGGATAACCCAGGAATCAAGTGTGCCAAGGGGTGAGTGTGCAGTACCTCCCCTCCTCCTCTCTCTCTCTCTCTCTCTCTCTCTCTCTCTCTCTCTCCCAAAGAAAAACTGTCAGTCTTAAGTGCATTATATTAATATTTCTTCGCTTTATTATTATTATTATTTCCAGAGGTCATGCTGCCTATGGCCAGGCCGTCCATTTCAATGACGCAGCCAAAACCCAAATTGGAGGTAAGACAACTTCACAATTACACACACACACACACACACACACACTGGATTGAATGGCAAAACACATAATTACAGTTGAGAAAGAAAATGAAGAGTCTTTCGAATTCCTACAGAAGGAACACAAAGAGGGGTTTCCATAAGTGTTTTTCAAAACCTGATTTTTTCCCTGATTGCCACACAGTATTATGTAAACAAGAACAGTTTATTATATATCACACTAGGAAAAAAAGAGAAAAAATTACTTTGAAAAATTACTTAATTTTCCTTTTTAGGCAGCTACTTCATGTCCTACCATACGATCCTGAAAACCTCACAGGACTATATCGAGGCTCTGCGCTATGCAAGGCAAGTAGCGAATAACATCACCAAAGCAATGAACGACGCCATGACAGGCACTGAGGAAGAGGTGGCTTACAAGTACAGCGCCCAGGGAAACACGGAGAGGAATATCACACTGGAGAAGCACAAGAACAAAAAGAAATTTGAGGTGTATCCATACAGGTGAGTAGATGGAGGTCTATAAATATATTGTATATTTTTTAAAACATATTTATTTGTTCATGAAAATCAATAATAATTTATACATATAGAGATGGCAAATTGCTCTAAGCAGTGTATGCTCATCTTAAAAGAACCTAGAAAGACAACTAATTAACTAATAACTAATATAACTATTAACTAAAATATGTCTAATGATGATGAAAAAGAGAAAAATATTAAATTTAATCTTCTTTTTCTGACTTTATCTTCCTAATTTTAAAAATACTTGATTGTATGATTATGGAAAAGAGAATAATATTCTTTATCTTAATCTAGGCATGTGTTCCAATTTAAATGTTTTCAATAAGCATTATTTCCTAATTTAAAAAGTATTTGATTTTATTTGACAGTGTTAACCTAATCTTTTCAGCGTCTTCTACGTTTTCTACGAGCAGTATCTGCTTATTGTAAAAGACACCTGGTTCAACTTGACGCTGTGTGGAGTAGCCATCTTGGTCGTGACCTTTGTGCTGCTTGGATTTGACCTTTACTCCGCCATCTTGGTTATCTTGACAATCAGTATGATCGAGATCAGCATGTTTGGAATGATGCATCTTTGGGGGATCGATCTCAACGCAGTGTCTTTGGTCAATTTGATCATGGTAAGAGTGGTCAGAATGCTCTTCAGCTACTGTCAGTTTAATATGATGGTAAAAATGATCTTAATGCTCTGTTCTTTGGTCAGTAAAATTCTAGTGTGAATGATTATCTAGTTCTCAATGAAAATAGCCTCAAACTATAGACCATGAACATGATATTGGACTGATTATCTCATCTTCTGTTCTGTTGTGTTAATTTGGTATATCACGTCAGATTTAACAATAATGATAATTAGTCTTATATGCCATATCTACTATTTTGTTGTTTTGGTACATGCATATTATATGTAGACAACGATATTCTCAAAAGTAATATTATTCTCACATCCTCTATGCTAGTGTGTTGGTATAATATCTGATGTACTATTCTAGTGTATTGGTACTCAGGGGCAGATCCAGAGATATTTTCTGACAGTCTTCCAAATTATCTTTGGTGGTCCGTCCTCCATTTTTGACCGTCTTCCCACAGAAAAAAAAAATCAGATACCCGTCAATGTGAACCTGAAAATCTGACCATCTTTCAGAAGACCTAGAAGATGACCTAAATCCACCCCTGGTACTTGTATTCAGATGTCTACAATGATATACTGGAAAATAATATTATTATCTGTTTTTCTATTCCAGTGTGTTGGTATATCCGTAGAGTTTTGCTCTCACATTGTACGAGCGTTTGCAGTCAGCATACGAAACTCTCGAGTGGAGAGAGCCAAGGATGCTCTAGCTCATATGGGTAGTTCAGTGAGTATTAGTGGATTTTTTCTTATAATTTTATTTTTAGATTTTTATTTCACAGCAATTAAAAAAAAACAGATATGTAAAATTGTATAGGCAGAGTACAAGAAATTGATACAAGATATTAAACAAATATATACCTTTGCGGCTTACATTTTCAGGATATTTTGTAGGTTCACTTTCATCTCTATATTGATTTATAAAGAATTTTCCATCACACTTTTTCTCTGCTTCAGGTGTTGAGTGGTATAACACTGACAAAGTTAGGAGGCATTATAGTTCTAGCTTTTTCTAAATCACAGTTATTCCAAGTCTTCTATTTCCGTATGTACCTTGGAATGGTGCTGTTTGGGGCGACACACGGCCTCATATTTTTACCAGTTTTACTCAGTTACATAGGTAAGTGAAAACACTGTCCTGTTTGATGTGATTGTATTGAAAGTTTTTTGTTTTATGTCTTTTTGTTTGTTGTTTGTGTGTCATTTTTTTAACTTAGACTGTTTGGCATCTGTCTCTGTATAACTCACTTGTAACACAAAGTAGAATGCATTAACTTTTATGCCATTTTTAAATAACAAAGAAAATAAATAAAAAAGCATTAGTGTGCAATTTAAAGACTGATGACTGTTTCAGTTAATCTATTCATTGTTACCTGATTGTAAATGTTGCTTCTAGTATCTTCAATTCTTAGCAACTGTGAGGTTTATAGAATCAGAGGAGGGTGTATTAATTCAGATGATTTCAATTTACATGTAGTTAACACTGGGCTGGCTCCAGTTTCACTTAAGAACTTCACTTAAAAAGTTGGTCTTATTTTTAATGACAATTTTTTTGGTCAGCTTCAAGGTAAATTTGTCAAAGTTGGAGTAGACTAATTTACATCATTATTGTCATGTCATTGTGGTTTGATTTTTGCTATCGTTTAATTATATTTTTCTTGTCAAAACATTTCTCACTTTTAAAATTAAGTTATAAAATTTTTATATGGAGTTGGACTACGGCTGGTTTATTTTAGGTGAAACTTAAGACCACCTTTCTACTGAAGTTCTCTGGTGACCCCCCTTGTGTAGTGCCAATGCTAACATGTAGTAAACATTACAATGGACTAAAACCAATAGTAGACTAATTGGCGTCACCATATTTTTCATAATTTGATTTTTTGGTATCTTTGATTTTTCATTTATTTATTTTACAATGTGATGCACCCAAGGGGTACTAATGCCAGTTTGTAGTTTGGAGATCCAAGTGACACATTTTAGTCTATTTTTTGTCCAGACAGAGATAAAGCTTCTGATGCAGTGATTTATGATATAAGTTAGATAAAGATGGAATAGTGATTGACATTCATACTTAATCTTTTGCTTTGAAGTTACTGTAGCATGGGGGGTCAATTTTATTTCCAAATTTATCTTAGGTTAAGATGAATAGATATTTCAAAACATTCACTTTGATTACGGATAACCTAACTGCTTATTGCCAAGTAAAACATATTTACACCTAGCAAAACTTGTTATTCTATATAAACCTTTGCCTATCTAGACTAGAACAGCTTAATCCTTTCAATAGCTTTTAGCTTTGCTCAGCAGTCTTAAGAATGCCCCACTTTATGTCCATCTGTCCATAGTTGATAACCAGTGTTCTATCATACCTTGAGAACTGCATTGTGTTGCACTGTCACACCCAACACAATGTTGTGTACGCCTGTCACACCTAATGCAATGAACACAATGCTGTGAATCACTGTCACACCAAACACAATGACAAATATCCTACACTGTTACTCCAAGTGCCTGACTTATCATTTAATTTATCTACACATGCTTAGGGCCTCTCAACCCAGTTCCTGGAGGCTCCTTAGCGTGAGAGGTCTCCAAGCTTTTAAATAATAGCAATAATGACAATAATTATGAAAATAATAATTTATATTCTAAAATGTCCTCAAGGTCCCACCAAGTCTTGATGTGACTTGTTATCACAGTCATCCAATGTCTTCATTGTGTTTCTTTAAGTATTCTGCAAGTAAATATCAATATTAAAATCATTTTTATGATCACTTGATACCAAAATCAAAGGCTAAAATACAGGTAATTGTGAGAAGTTAAGATCTTACTCAATCTCCTCCTTCCCCCCCCTCCCATACTCCAAAATTAACACATCCCTGTCTACCTGTTCAAGCAGCCACAGTTTCCCTTTTTATCCTCATGTATATTTATCACACCTCTACTGCAAAACTTGTAAAAGTTTTTGATTTCTTTTCCCTAAGTTGCTTTTTTTTGTAAAACAGCTTTTGCATGCTATTATTTCCTTACTGTACATGGCTTTTACCAAGTTTTCTTTCTTCCTTTTTCATATTTTATCTGAAATACTTTGGTTGTGGATTATTGTTTAAAAATAATATTTAATTTTCATTTTTGCATCGGGTAACTGCTCTATTTTTTAGTTGTCTGCCTTTACTACACTTCACTCCATGGTCAGAAGGCTAGAAATAACATTTATTTATTTATTTATTTATTTTTTGCCCATAACTTGTTTTTCTTATCCCACCTTTTCCTCATTTCAGGCCCTCCAATTAACAAGGCCATTTTATTTGAAAAACAACAAAAGCACCGTGATCGTGTCACCTATGACGAGAATATTGAAAGGGACAGCAAAAAAGAGCCCACGTCTCGTGTCATAGACACTAGGGATGGGTCATATTCAGATCAGTTGTCTTAAGGTATACACAGCCATCAGGGTTGTAATTACACAAAATGCAAACACATTACATAATAATTGATACCTTTGCAACACATTGAATAATATAATATCCTTGTGGTATAATATTCCTGTGGCCTTTGACCTTTAGAAAATGAATGTGACCTTGACCCTGTAGATTTCACCTTGACCTGGCCAATAGAAATTTCCCATTCTGGTGTGTTCTTGTTTGGTTCTTCGCCTGTAGGATTCTTTTTTACCTCTTGAGTTTGAAACTACCATTCTTTTAGAACAAAAAAACAAAACTCTTATAACGTACGGCACAATACTTCTTTTCACTGATTCTTTATGGTAGTTATATTCTGTTTTTTTTTTGTTTTTTTTTGTGCAATATTGTCACTTAGAGTAAATGTTTTGAAAACGGCAATAGTATTCAAGAAATAGAAAACAGACAAAACAGCAGACTCCATGTATGTTGATGAAAAGTAAATTGTTTCTAAAGAAACTAAACGTTTAGCCCAAATATTTTGAAAGTATCTACAGTTATCAGGAAGTAGAGAGATTAAACCTTGAAAACGGACAAATCAAAATACTCAAGGTGCATTGCTTTTAATGAGCCAAGCAAGTAGAAAGAATTATCACTCTGAACTGAGTTCATTTATTGTTTGCTTTGGTAACACTTTCACCTGTCAGTTTTATTTTAAAATCTGGCTGGCCTAAACAGTTTCAAGCCCGTGTACTTTTATAACAGGTGTTTGCTGCCACAACTACTTATTGTTGATAATTTACACTGTTGCTGTAGGTAGAGCTGCCATGAGAAGAATAACTTATTGCTTCTAAAATGTGAACATACTAACTGTCTTGTGTAAACAGTAACATGTTTGAACTAAGCCCAAGATTTGTTTACACCTATCTGTCCCATGCTTTACTCATTTGTCACAATTTCGAATGTGAAAGAAACATTTGTAAAAAAAAAAATGTATCACCATGCTGCCACCTATGTTTAATAGCCGTAACAAACACTGGAATAAGATTTAACGTTTGTGATAAGAAATGTGAAGCACATGCAGTGGAAACGGAGTTAAAGGTTTCAAAACATTAATATGTAAATGTTAGTGCCTGACATTTAATTGTTACCCCCAATCCCTGCAGGTCCATAATTTTAACACCAGTATTTAGTCTGTTTTGGCCGCATAAAGTAATTGCAAAAGATAGACTTACAAATTTCAATTGAGATAAGCTGACATTTATTGAACATTAGCCAATATTACCCACAATGCTAAATTACCCATGATTCTTGCAGGTCCACCGTTGAACAAGGCCACTCTGTATGCCAGCCAGAAAGATGACAGAGATCAAGGCAAGACCATCGAGAATGTACAGGTCCTTTGTGGTGATACTTGAAACAGCACAACTCCCAGGCGGAGAGCCTTGAAACAGAACTTTATGAGGCATACAGACTTGGCCAATGAAAAAATGGAGAGAGAGGGAGAGAGAGAGGGGGAATGATAATCATTAAAAAGCAAAATCAATGCAACTCATTCTGTTCATCAAGTTTTGATGTTGAGAATCATTATTCAGACTTGATAATTTTATGAATTATTCTCTGAAGGTGAGAAGTTAATTTAACATATAACGTTGAGCACCACAATATTTGAAGGCTGTGGTATGCCCAATTTACATGACTCTCATTCCTAAAATAGTGACCAGAAAATAGAAGGTAAATATATACTTGCCTGAAAAAAAAAATCTTGCCACAGTATTTTTTTAAGTATATTGTTTTCAGGAGACTCAACTAAAAACTGTGGCTTCTATACTCAGGGTGCAAAATTCTCTAACTTTAGGTTAGGACAAATTTGGATGAAAAAGCATCAAGATTATGTATGCCATTTTTAAGAAAGCTGTCAGAATTTAAACACAGCCTTTGGTGGGGGCTGTATGATGTCAGACTTGTAGAAAACATGCTCAAAACTTTTTGTTAGTAGGCGGGGTCAACTTGCTGAAAATGTCTTCTTAGAAAAAGTGACACATAAAACATGATTTTTTTTTTTTTTTTTTTTTTGTACTAATGTGCAATAAACTAAAATTCTAGATAAATTGAGAGAAAACAAACAGAAAAATATCTAAATTCTGTCAGTTATTATTTCTTTGAACCACACGCACTACCGAGTAGACTACAAATTTTCTGGCCCCATTTTCCTCCAGATCTTTTGATATCTCACTTAATTTTTTTATGTCAGATTGCGAGATTTTGACCCATTTCTTATTGCACTTACTGCCCATTGTGTGGTCACTGGTTGGTGAATTTGGTTCCTTTTGTCCGTTGTGTCTTAATTGTGTAGATAACAGAAAATAAAAGAGGCAGGTTCTCTTTAAGGGTAAACTCTAAAGGTACATTAATATTATAGAACTGATGTAATTTCAAATGACCATATATGGCATTGGATGTGAAAACTGATTAACAGATTTTTTGCAATATCAGCAATTTTCTAGAACTCACTCAAAATTACTTGGAGTTAAAACCCCAAATTCCATGTAAGCTCTCTTTGATTATAATCTCTGAGGAAAATTTATTGGCAGCTCATTTTTTTTTTAAGGGAGTGCTGATTTGTTAAAATTTGAATATATATATGTATATTAGTGTGTGAATGATATTAATGTTAAAATATATACATCCAAGATATACACAAAAGAATACGAATGTATTTACACTGCAACCAATGGAAAATTTTTGACATTTTGTCTAATATAGTGAAATGACTTCTGGGCTTAAAAATTACTTATATATTTATGTTATAGGCTGTGCTTGTGCTGTACATGTAATCTGTTGTTAAGAGTTGATTTACCTTTGGTTTTAAGTGATGATCGAAGCAGTCATTTGAATTATTTCACCACATGAGTCAAGTGTTGAGAAAAGAAGATCCACATCCAGCAAAATAATATATATACACACACATTGTGCAATTTTTACATGTATAGATATTCGATCCCTATATCTGATAAATCACACCTTCTATTAGCAAAGTGTTGACAATTTTTCTCCTTTAGCACTTGCGCACATAAAATAATTACCCCCCTGATTGGTCAGTTTTGGTAAATTATTGTTACAGGTTTTCTTCTTTGGTTGTAAGAGCTAAAGTGATACAAAGCGGATAAATTTTTTAGTTATTGGAACACTTTCCATAGATATGATAAATAATTGACAATCTTAATTTGTTGCGGAAATATAAAATTTGAGTGTCATTTGTAAATAAGTGTTGGCACAGTCAATTCTTGAGCAAATTGTACATAAGAAGCAAATAAAACAAATGTGTTGAATAAAAAAGATATTTGTATTTATTGTTACATTTTAACATATAAAATAAACATCTTTTTTTTCTGATTAAGAGGTGCAATCATGCTATTTCATTACTGAACAAAAATGTTTGTAGTCATTTGCCCTATCTCTACTTTTCTCTACTGTTGCAATATTGGAAACAAAAAGACTGAATTGCAGTTCTACAAATAAGTGGTCATGTTTTAATATCTGAAAGAAAAAATTTAATTCCTCAAAAAAAAAAAAAAAAAATTAAATGGGCAATCTACAAGGAGGTTAGATTCTAACAAAAAGATGGGTAACATATCGGGGGGATATAAAAATCAGTTTGTAACAAAACCTTAAATTCAGTTTTATCTTGAAATAATCATTTTAAGGAGACTCAAGATACAATAAAAGACAAAACGTTTTTTCTCACATCTATCACAGTTTTTTAAATCTATCAATTAAAGCAGCAACTTCCTCGTGATTTTTTTCTCAGAGGAACTGCTTGTGAAGTGGTGCCCTCTATAGAGCTGTTCAAGAACTTCAGTCTCTCCACTCCAGTCCAAGGTTGAGCACTATGAAACTGTAGATGTCAGTTAGCTCTTCAATCTAGAAAATTAAACATTACAACACTCAGTTGCAAAAAAAAAAAAAAAAATGGCCCTTTTATGAAATGCTGTTACAATTAGTATAGCGTCTGAACTGACAAGTATTGTACGCAATTTGAACTGTCATAATACTTGGATCTTGTAATTGAAAGGAGTCACATACATGTACCTATATACTAAATAGAGTGTCAATTCCATACATTACTTGTAAGTTAATTGCTTTTCATTCTATACTTGCTGCATGTATTCTCTGCATTCCGTTCTCCCCTCTCTTTCTTCTGAATCATTTACTAACTTGAAATCTAAGCAATTCACACAATTCTAAGCAACCATTAAACTTGGGGATCCTTAAAATTAAAAGAAATAAATCACATACACTTATAAAAATCCCACACTTACCACTTTAGCAGTGGGTTTTCCCGCCCCATGCCCAGACTTGGTATCAACCCGGATCATCAGGGGGTTTGTCTGAATTTTTACAAAAATTATAATATTTAAAGCAACTGTTTGATATTAAATATTAAATGGACGAAGAATCCAACATGCTCAGATACCAACTTGTGAAAATTAAACCAGTTGTTGCAGACTAGTAATTTTTTCTCCCCCAAAAAAAGGAAAAAGAAAAAACATTTTAAATATGGACAGTTTCATTTAAAATTTAACTTGGTTAAATTAGCAATTTAAGACCAAGCAGTCTAAGTGACCAGTAATCAAGCTGAAAAAGTTGAAAATCCACTCTGAAAAAGGTTTTAAAAAAATAAAAATAAAGGATACCTGTTGAGGCAAATTCCCCAGTTTATGTTGCACTTCAGCAATGTATTTAAGAGAGTGTAGAGGCACCACTCTGTCGTCGTGATCACCGGTCAGTAACAACATGGCTGGAAACTGGACGCCATTGTTTGGCTCTTGGACATTGTGGACTGGGGAGTATCTGAAATGGTGCGAATTATGTTAATGAGAAAATGATAAAATTTTTCATATTTTGCCAAATTTGTTTTGTTTGTCATGTCTTAAATTATCTTCTTGCAATAAATAAATAATAATAATAACAAAAATTGAATGTCAACCACATTTCCCATGATCATAATCTTTATTTCTCAAAATTCCTAAAATTTTGAACATAAAAAATTACAAGCATCAAGTTGGGTTTGAGTGAAAATGTTTGTACTATATGTCAAACTAATAACCATACATAACAATTCTTGAAAGAAATGTCATTTGAAATAAGATGAAATAAGTGTCACAGAGCATTCCTCATGGGTCAAAGGTCACCTGAAGAGGTCAAAGGTCACCTGAAGAGGTCAAAGGTCACCTGAAGAGGTCAAAGGTTACCTGTAGAGGTAGTCAAAACCTTCCTTTTCATCACTGCAGCCATAATCAGTGGTCCAGGCATGTCCAATAGTAAACTTATGGAACTTTAACATGTCCATTACACTAAAGAGAAAAAATATTGTTTCTACAAAAAAATAAAATAAAATAAAATAAAATAATAAAGTAATAATATCTATCACTGGCCCCCTTACAATTATAGCTATCAGGGTTTCCACAAAATCATTGACTTGAGGAACTTCAAAAAAAGTCTACAAAAATATCTATCAAGGATATTCTCACAGTTATCGTAACTATTATGATGGGGCCTTAGAAGTATGTTCTCGAGGACCTTCAACATGTCTAGAACTGTATAGAGAAAATATTGCTTGAAAAATGTACAAAAATTATATATCCTAGGTGATCCCATAATTACAATTATCATAAACCATTTTAAAAAACCATATACTACAACAGTTTTGAAATATTCCTACATGGCTCAACAGATAGAGAGAGAGAGAGAAAAAATTAGCTTGCATAAGGCTTTGCCTTAGGTAACACAAGTTATGAAACATTCACCACTTCATAACTGAAAGTAATATGTTAATGCAATTATCACATGGCAAGTGCCCAGAATATATGATCAAGCCAGATATTTTTGTACATCTACTAATTTTCCGCAATCTGGGGCGCTAATCCTGAGATAGTCTCACTCAATGTGACACTGCTTCTAGTGAGAGGAAGGGCAAAAAGCCTACACATCCCCCAACTCCACAAATGTCCCTAAAACTAGACATAGGACTTACCCCACTTGGAAATACAAAATATCCTGCTTTAAAATATTGAACCCAATTTGAGATAGGACTTACCCAACAAGGAGATTTAATTTACCCCACTTGGATATGCAACTTGGAGATAATACTTACTCTAGCTGGAGAAAATACTTACCCCACTTGGGCGATTGCACATCCAAAAAGTTCTGGTTTCTGGTTGACACAAGCTCCCACCAGCAGTCCGCCATTAGACCCTCCATTGATGGTGATTCTGAAACCAAAGATTTCATCGATCTCAGGTTTATTTGAAACAATCAAATACCATGAAGTTTAACAGTATTACAACAATTTAAGTATTGTGGGTAGTTTATAACTTATAAATGATTAAACAAATCATACACACCACCTATTTTTTGGGTAATTTTCACTAAATCATGCTATAATATGCAAGAACTAACAATGTTTTTCTGAAATTTTTTTTTTCATGGACTTTTTTAAAGTATTTGTTATACAATTATTTATCATGGGCTTTTTTACAAAACCAAGTAAACACGAATATAGTTCTGCAAGTTACTTAGTACTGAGAATTATTTTCTAACAAGTATCACAAAAATAAAATGCTTACCTTTTGTGGTTTGTATATTTTTCTTTAACAAGATATTCTGCAGCAGCTTGGAAGTCATCAAAAACATTTTGTTTCTTTTCTTTAATCCCAGCATTGTGCCAATCCTCACCATATTCTCTGGAAAAGAAAGAATAATATGGACTTTTTTCTTTCAAAAATCTAATGATTTTTAATTTTTTTTTTTAATTTGTCTTCATGTAAGTAGTGCTTTGAGGATTTTTCAAAGTTGGTCTATTACACTAGGAAGTGTAAATTATGTGGCTGTTAGAAAAGTTTTCCATTGTCAAAACAATTTGTCTTTAGAGTTGTAGTTTCTGAGACCTTGTCCAAGAGAACTTAGATGCTTATATCACAGAGACATCTTTAAGCAAAGAAGACTCAGGGATTGTTTTCAAAATTCCAAAGGTTCAATTGTTAAAATTTATAAACCAATACATATATTAAAAAAAAAAAAAAAAAAATATATATATATATATATATATATATATATATATATATATATATATATATATATATATATATATAACTATCAAAAGTTACAGAGTGTGTAATTTAACCGATAAATTTAAATTCTGCAATAAATCTTACTAATTATTTATTCAAAATACATAAATTTATCCCTACCCTCCGCCACGAATATTTGGTACTGCTACAACTCCCCCAAGATGTTGCATAAATACAATTCTGGACACACTAAAGGTAGGAGTGATGGCAATACTGAACCCTCCATAACCATAGAGTAACACAGGGTGGGAGCCATCAAGCTTAAGCCCCTGGAAAAATATGATGATAAACATTATTTGTTAACTATAGACTATTCTCCACTATTTTGCCTATGCAGAGTTAAATTTGTCTAAAGTATAGGCCTATGCTGGGAAAAGATATGCTAGCTAAAGATGGCTATGTTGAAACCACCATATCCATGGGGCAAGACGGTGAGAGCTATCAAGTTCAAACCCCTCAAATGAAAATTAATGAAATGAAACATATATGGTGTAGCAATACAATACTAGGCCCTGTTTTGTCATATAAGAGCACTGTTTCAGTATCAATACTGGTATGTTCATTTTTCATGCAATTTCCACCATGATTCCATTTATGTTAAAACAGTGAAACCATCCAGTATCTATTCAGTGAAATAATAAAACATTTCACAAAAAAAAAAAAAAAAAAAAAATGAGCAGGCAAATGTTTCTCACATTAAAAAAAACAACAACATTAGTCACTTAAGATGATCTTAAGTTATTATAACTGTAAATCATATTTCATGTCAGATACCTTTCTGTGGACAATAAACATGGGGATTTTGGTCCCATCTTTTGTAGGGTAAAACACTTGTTTGGTCTCGAAAAGGGCAGGGTTATAGTCCTTAACTAGTATTTCCCTGAACACCTGGAAAAAAAGAACGATTATAATAATAATAAGCTAGTATCTCTGCAACTGTCATAGACATTGTAGAAGAACAGAGAGCTTCAAAAATAAGAAGAGAAAATTTTATTTTTGAATCATTTTCTCATTATTAGTGTGTTTTTTGTTTTTTTTTTTTCGTAGTTTCAAAGCAGCAGAAAATTTTGGGTCTGCTTCAAATCTTCATATATAAGTCACTAAAATTATATTGCTATGAGCCAGTTATTTTCTGGTCTTGTGAAAGTTTCACACCTTTCATGCGCTATGTAATACAAGTGTTAATTTCCTTTACTTTGAAGGCTCCTGTTCTTGAAGAACTGACCAAATGAAGAAAGAAAGAGGGCAAAAAAATACAGTGGTTGAACCTGGAGACCATTAGAGAAGTTTGGCTCTGAAAGAAGTTCAATAATTTAATCTCAAAATAAGACATAATTCAAAGCAGACCCAAAAAAATAAATAAATAAATAAATAAATAAATAAATAAAAATAAGAAGAAGAAAATAGAAACATCTATAATTTTGACATTTACCAGATGGCTTTTTCATTAAAACGAAGCACTGTGACACACCACGACATAATTTTCCATTAAAATAAATTACTAAATTTTAAAACAAAAACTTACAGTTGGTTTCAGGGGTTCCTGGGTAAGGTCACACCTGTATATTATCCCTGGGGTCAAAAATGACATAAACTGATAGAAAATCTGAAAGGAGATGTTTTAAAATACTTGTTACTGATTAAAATAATTAAACAAAATATAAATGTCTATCAAATAGCTTTTAGTCTAAAAGACTGAAAAAGTAGGAAATTTTCATCTAACAATATCAAAAAGACATATTTTATAATTCTAAAGGCTCCTAAAATATATGTTATCTGAAGCATTCAGAAATAGACAACATTTTCATAATAATTATTATAATAACAAAAGAATTACTATAAGAAATTTTTCCTATGGCAAGAAAATAATATCATCCTATTAAATATAACAGCTTTCCAATATTTTATGACACAGATCTATGATATACAAATTTTTATGAAACTGATTCATGAAAAAAAAACATTTAGACCAATTTAAAGGTACTCAGCACAGGTGCAATAACTGACTTACTTCGGAGTCCTTTTTCTTTCCGGAGTATCCAACAATTGTGCCAACCTCCAGAGGAAGTTGTGTCACCATCTTCCCAGACTGAAGATCATTTAGATACAGTACATTCTGGAAGACATGAAATGAAATGTTTTATATGCTTAAACTTTTCAATTTCTACACTTACTTCAGCTGTACCTAAACAGAGCTTCCAATCACTACTGTTACTGTGACTTTCCTCAGCTTGTATTTCTTTCAGTCTCTTACAAATTGAAAAGCTTAAGCGTATAAAATAATCAAAAGACTACACTTTTGAATTTTTACCAAAATATGAAGTGAAATGTGATAAACCTTTCTATAATATAAATAATAATAATTATTATTTTTATTATGTGGCCCACTGCTGCAATATTCAGAAGGGTGAAATGAGTCAGGTCTATCAAACTGGACTACGCAGATTGATTCAATTACATGGGCAGTAATTTAAAATAAATTACATATGGGAAAACTGCACCCATCACCAATTGGGAAATCTGCACCGATTACCAACGTGTTAATAAGTATCATCACCTTGGCAAAATCAGCTGCTGAGTTGTTCATAACGAGATTATTCTTCATCAACAGAACAGGTGGATGTGTGGCCTTAAGTCCTGTTGTATGATGAAGGGTTCAAGGAAACTAGTGTGTGGGCGCATGCTTGCCAGAGTTCTTGTGTAGGCAAACATGTGTTCCTTTCGTTAAGTAACACTTGCAGTTGGACATGCACGCAAATACATGTGCAGTTTCTGTACATGCTTGTACATGTTCATGAAGATAAGCATGTAAATCTATGTACACATTTTGATGTGTGTGCCTGTGTGTTTGTGTTTGTGTTTGTGAGAGAGAGAGAGAGAGAGAATCATAATTGTGCACATACATGTGTTAAAGCACAAACATGTGCATTTGCACACCAGTGTAATCACGGAGTACCTTGACATCCTGCATGTAGCATAGGACTAATTTATTTTTGTTGACACATGCTGCCCAGTCTAGGACGTCCTTGGCATCCTCTGCCACCAGTATCTGCCAGTTGTCCTTAATAAAAAAAAGAAAACAAACATGTAATACCATTATATATTGTTTTTATGTTATGGTAATGTTCACAAAGCCAGTCTTGCAGGAAATTGGTCGGACCCCAGTTTCAAGAAAAAAAAAAAAAAAAAAAAAACTTAAGTCAGTTCCCTGGCTTAGTTGACTAGGATGTCTATGAGAATGCTGCTTCTGATAGGGCAAGATGTGCCCATGTAGCCTTGGTAATTAAGTTCTTAGTCAGGGAACTGGCCTGAATTGGCCTGAACTTTTAGACCAAAAACTGGTCTCTTTGAGCACAGGGAATCTATTCAGTGTCCAGTCAGGAATTAAGCAGCCAGCTTTTCAGTGCATTGCCATATTTGATATGCGGATCTGTTAGTTAGCTGTTCTGAATGTGCTCTTTGTTTTTCAGATTTACTACACTTAGCTCAGTTAAATAAAGTATAAGACTAAAACATTAGCCACTTCTTTGTTGTCTTTGTTACAAACCTGTGTATGTACCTGGATTACTACACTGTTTTATCTTGAGTCATTGGACTAATTTGAGTCAAAATAAGGTTAGTCCCAATTTTTGGGCTAAAGTCCTTTTGTCAAACAGGCCCTTACCAAGTCTATCAACAGATTATTACTATGACTGACTGCCAGGAAGTTGTCTTCTCAGCACAGGACTGACTGGTCATAATTCAACTGATTGTCACCTGTACAATGATAACATATAAAATAGATTGCCAAACTCTGAGCGAGTAATTATCAGATTACTTTTCTCAAATCCTTACCATCTCAGGCTTGCTAAGGTCTATGTTGATCAACTTGTACTTGGGAGCATTGAGGTTTGTTTTAAAGGTGAACACTGTGCCTTCATTTGTGATGTACTGAAACAAGGCAGCAAAGCTGTCAAANACTTCTACAATAATGGCCCGATCATGCTGGTTTTCGAACTTGACCTGCGTTTTATGAATATTCATCAGCTCTGTAAATATTAAGCCAAAAAGTAAAACTGCCCTCCACTTATTGTGTTTACAAGGAAAGTGCACGGCGCCGGCATCGGCATCGGCGACGGCGACGACAGACGCAGGTGATGGCAATATGTACAGACACATCTGTGTCTGTACATAAAAAAGTAGGAAATTTTCATCTAACAATATCAAAAAGACATATTTTATAATTCTAAAGGCTCCTAAAATATATGTTATCTGAAGCATTCAGAAATAGACAACATTTTCATAATAATTATTATAATAACAAAAGAATTACTATAAGAAATTTTTCCTATGGCAAGAAAATAATATCATCCTATTAAATATAACAGCTTTCCAATATTTTATGACACAGATCTATGATATACAAATTTTTATGAAACTGATTCATGAAAAAAAACATTTAGACCAATTTAAAGGTACTCAGCACAGGTCCAATAACTGACTTACTTCGGAGTCCTTTTTCTTTCCGGAGTATCCAACAATTGTGCCAACCTCCAGAGGAAGTTGTGTCACCATCTTCCCAGACTGAAGATCATTGAGATACAGTACATTCTGGAAGACATGAAATGAAATGTTTTATATGCTTAAACTTTTCAATTTCTACACTTACTTCAGCTGTACCTAAACAGAGCTTCCAATCACTACTGTTACTGTGACTTTCCTCAGCTTGTATTTCTTTCAGTCTCTTACAAATTGAAAAGCTTAAGCGTATAAAATAATCAAAAGACTACACTTTTGAATTTTTACCAAAATATGAAGTGAAATGTGATAAACCTTTCTATAATATAAATAATAATTATTATTATTATTATGTGGCCCACTGCTGCAATATTCAGAAGGGTGAAATGAGTCAGGTCTATCAAACTGGACTACGCAGATTGATTCAATTACATGGGCAGTAATTTAAAATAAATTACATATGGGAAAACTGCACCCATCACCAATTGGGAAATCTGCACCGATTACCAACGTGTTAATAAGTATCATCACCTTGGCAAAATCAGCTGCTGAGTTGTTCATAACGAGATTATTCCTCATCAACAGAACAGGTGGATGTGTGGCCTTAAGTCCTGTTGTATGATAAAGGTTCAAGGAAACTAGTGTGTGGGCGCATGCTTGCCAGAGTTCTTGTGTAGGCAAACATGTGTTCCTTTCGTTAGGTAACACTTGCAGTTGAACATGCATGCAAATACATGTGCAGTTTCTGTACAAGCATGTGCATGTTCATGAAGATGAGGCATGTAAAACTATGTACACATTTAGGTGTGTGTGTGTGTGCGTGTTCATAGTTGTGTGTGTGTGTGTGTGTGTGTGTGTGTGTGTGTGTGTGTGTGAAAGAGAGAGTATGTGTTTGTTTCATAATCACACACATGCATATGCGTTAATGCACAAACACGTGCATTTGCATACTAGTGTAATCAAGATGTACCTTGACATCCTGCATGTAGCAGAGGACTAATTTATTCTTGTTGACACATGCGGCCCAGTCTAGGACGTCTTTGGCATCCTCTGCCACCAGTATCTGCCAGTTGTCCTAAATAAAAAGAAAACAAACACATAATACTATTATATATTGTTTTCAAAGTTTTTAAGTCTACTTCAGGGGCAACTTTCACAAAGTCACTCTAGCAGGAAATTAGTCAGTTCCCTGGCTCAGTTGACTTGGATTTCCATGAGAGTGCTGTTACACTGCTTCTGATAGGGCAAGATGTGCCCATGTGACCATGTAACCTTGGTAATTAAGTTCTTAGTCAGGGAAATTGGTCTGATCTTTAATAAGACCAAAAAATTGGTCTCTTTGTTTTCTAGATTTACTACATTTAGCTCAGTTAAATAAAGAATTGATCTAAAACATAAACCCCTTCTTTGTTGTCTTTGTTACAAACCTGTGTATGTGCCTGGATTACTTATGGGAGAGTAATTATCAGTTTAACATTCTCAAATCCTTACCATCTCAGGCTTGCTAAGGTCTATGTTGATCAACTTGTACTTGGGAGCATTGAGGTTTGTTTTAAAGGTGAACACTGTGCCTTCATTTGTGATGTACTGAAATAAAAAACAGTATTGTTGCTATTAATCAGAATATTGATGCCATCAGGAAGTGCCTGGATATCCACAGAGTACAGCTGTATGTTACATAAAAGCCATAGAATGTATGTTAAATCTTTTTATTATAATAGCAACAGAAATATTTTTTGAAAATTTCAACAATTTTTTCAATGTTTTCCAATTTATCAACTTCTTTAAGAGTTCTAAATTTCGAAATCCACCAGTCTCCACCACCAAAATCAGAGTTACTCAATAATATAAAACTCAGATCTAGAAGTCTCTGCCTAATGTACATGCCACTTGCCACCAAAAGCATGTCTCTGGGGACAATATTGTATTTTAGGTGTCAGACTAGTTGAGAACTAAGAATCGTTAACAAACTAATGGAAATGTACTGGTTGTTTTCAATCATTTATCCACTGTCTTTATATTTCATACTTATTCAGTTTAATTCAGTATAACTTGGAATAGTACTTTCCAGAGGTCTGTTAGTCCCCAGGTGGCCAGTGGACTGATAAGTATGTCAATTACTAGTAACTGTCTGAAAGAGGTATAAAATTTTACCAAATACATTTTATTATACAACTCTTAAACTAACCTCGTATTCAGCATCAAAGTTATCCACCAATTTTATGTAAGGAAGCACACCTGGAATTGAAAATATCTCATTTCAATTTACGTAAAATGCTTTCAACAAAAGATTAATGTGCAGTCCATGCCAAAATGTTTCACTTCATAGCTCCTTCGTAAGCACCATGAAACCACCATCATCTGGAAATGCCTATAGATCCACATACTACAGCTGTATATTATTTGTGCCATCTGGAAGTGGCTGTAGACCTACATAGTACAGCCATATACTCACCATTAATGCCACCTGGAAATGCCTGTAGATCTACATAGTACAGCCATATAATAACCATTAATACCACCTGGAAGTGACTGTAGATCTACATAGTACTGCCATATACTCACCATTAATGCCCCATGGAAATGCCTGTAGATCTACACAGTACAGTCAGCCATATACTCACCACTAATGCCACCTGGAAGTGCCTGTAGATCTACATAGTACAGATATATACTCACCATTAAACCCATCTGGAAGGGCCTGTAGATCTACATAGTACAGCTATATACTCACCATTAAACCCATCTGGAAGGGCCTGTAGATCTACATAGTACAGCTATATACTCACCATTAAACCCATCTGGAAGGGCCTGTAGATCTACATAGTACAGCTATATACTCACCATTAATACCATCTGGAAGGGCCTGTAGATCTACATAGTACAGCTATATACTCACCATTAATACCATCTGGAAGTGCCTGTAGATCTACATAGTACAGCCTGTTGACTGGGTGGCAGCCTTCACTGATCATCATCACCAAATAACGCCCACAGTCCGTTACCTCAGCTCCTCTGTAAACAATGTATGTCAATACTTTTTACATCAACAGATGTTACATAAATTCAAAACATTTATGTCCTATATCAAGGTACAAAAAGCAAATTATATTTAGCTCGATAAATAGCTTTTCTTGAATTTCAGATAATATATGGACCTTCCAATCCTGAATGCACGACTGAATCAAGAACAACTCGTCATCATCTTATCTAATTTTGTCAGAAATATGTGAACAATTGCCATAATTGCACCATTTTGAGGATACTAAACAATATTAACTTTCTTTTTTCATTTTACCTAATCTTCTTATATCTCTGTTAATGCATTCAAAGGGCTGCACAAAAGCTGCGAAAGGCCTGCAAATCGGCAGATTACAATTCTCAAACTTTGAATTCAAAAGTTTGAATTCTTTTCTTTATTATTATTATTTTGAGTAATACTGATATTTACATCATCCATTTTGGGTGATCTGGAAACTCAGCACAGAGCACATCCTCCACCTGTGACGTCCCCAACCGGTGGTAGTATAACTTCTGGTTGACATTACTGGTTGTCTCAGTACCATCAGACTTGCCTTCCTGCTCCTTGTACCTCTGAATAATAAAAAACATGGAATTTTTTTTCAGTGATCTTCCTATAGCAAAAATTACTAGTAATTTTAATTTCCTAATGGAAATTTGAGTACTTTGTACTTAATCACCTAGATATACAAAGCAACAAATCCAAAATCTTATATATATATATAATTCTTTGTATCAGACTTGCCTTCCTGTTCCTTGTATCTCTGAATATAAACATTGTATTTTTTTTTCAGTGATCTTCCTGTAGCAAAAAATAACTTTAATGGAAATGTACTTTGTATCTAATCACCTAGCTATACTAAGCTAATATCCAAAATCTTATATAGAGAATTATGATCCATAAACCTATTTGAGTTTTTAAAGTTTAAATTGAACCACTCTTGTAATGACACAGAACCTTGTAATTCCATTTGAAACAGTGAACTCAAAAAATTCAAGACTCAAAAAAGGGTTTATAGATTGCAAATTCTTTAACACAATTAAATAGGGTAAACCTTGAAATCAACTGGAAAACTGAGGAAATTTCTAATGTTATTTTTATTCTTTCTTTTTTTTCCCTATATACAGTATGTAAATCCAACAAACACTGTATATCTTTACAATGAATACCACTCTCAGTTCACCTTAGTTACAACCTAAGTTGGTTACTGCCCAAGTTTTGTTTTTACCAACAATTTTTAATTCAATTTTTCAGTTTCAAATCCAATTTTCACCTAAACTGACATCCTTAACTACTGTAACAATAATAACAAAACTGCTTTAATTATTAACAGTTCCACCTTTTCATTAGCATTTAAAGTAAAATACCTTAATACCACTAATGAGATGAATGTCTTAGCCTACCAATTTTGAAAATTCTACAAATCTGACTGAATGTTAGTATCAGCTTAATAATTTCCTTGTAATTGCGATCATTTGCATGCATAATAAGGCACCATAATATCCTTTGAGTGACATGGCTACCAAGAAGCTGCCCAACCCATGAGTATAGATTAATAGCATTAACTGAAATTTTCCCTTTGTCATGAAATACTTTTGAGAATTATATCTTTTTGTTATGGCATGTGTTAGTAAAAGGAACTCTTAATTATTATAGTAAGTTCAGGAGTTTAAAACGGGGATTTTCAAAGTAAAGTATCCAAGAAAAAGGAAACCACTGTACAGGGTCTCAACATGGGGTAGGCAACATCCCTAAATAGAATTTAATCTGACCATATGCAACTATATCCCCAAGTGTTCCTCTTTTTAAAAAGATTTATTGCAAAATTTTAAAAACTTCACGTATGTATACTATACTGGGGTAGCGCTAGCAATTTTTTCCGCTTAGCCAAACCACCACTTTTTTATCAACTTGTTTATGTTATCCAAATGTTAACTAAAATTAGTCAAATCAAGCCTTTTTCTTTAGCCAATTTAAGTCAGTTTTAGCATTTGGCTAAACTGGCGAGTGTTAGCGCTACCCCAGCTATAGCTTAGTAATTGTCACACACACACAGACACACACATTTTTAATGTTAAAGGGATAATAACTCTTCGTATGAAATCTGTATTTCACAATAAAAACATTGTGAGTGACTCATAAAAATATAATATATTCTGTTTTCCCACAAAAACGGCTGTTATAGCTATTATTCTGATATCTGAGCTTGTCTTTTGACCACGTGACCTCCACTGATGGCTATACTATTAATACCAAACTTTTTAGAAAAAACCAGGGACTAACTTTGAATGTAAAAATGGATTCATTAACCATTGGTAAGTATGGGAAAATTGTTGTTTACTCCAGGAAAATTCATTTTTTGGCCGAAACGAAGAGTTATTATCACTTTAAGCCACAGCAAATATAAGACCAATAGAACAACTGGAAACTGATTGTCTCATTTTCCTACTGCTTTCCTCAATGTTACTATGTGCTTGTTATATCAAAAGCAACAGTGAAGGATATATATATATATATATATATATATATATATATATATATATATATATATATAATTGGAAGGTGGCTAAAACCAAGGTGCTTTCTGTGAATAAAGCTAAAATGAGCTTACGAATATAAAGATAATGAATCAACAATGTCATGTTCATGAAAACAGCTAAAAATAACTTTGAAAATAAGGGGAAGGGCAACCTAGGTGAGATTTATGGAAGCAGCTAAAATTAACTGGCAAAAATGAGGAAAAAGATGTTAAGAAGTCCGTGTTTGTGAAAATACCTAGCTAAAAGTAACCTTGGAAAATAAGGGGAAGGGCAACATCAAGGTGATATCCATGACAGAAGCTAAAATCAACTTGAACACTTAAGAAAAAAACCTAAAAAAAAATCTGATTTCAAAACCTATAACAGTTAAAATTCATTTGTAAAAAAAAAGTAATGGGCATCAAAACCCCTCCTCACATTTTACTTAAAGTTTACCGACAGAAAATATTAGACAGAACATCAACCCCACCTTCCCCCTACCTTAACCTCAACTCAATTCCTTCCTTGCTCTGAAAACTCAGTGTACTAAGGTTTTCTACTCACATTATAAAACATGCCTTTATGATCATGAGTCCAAGCCATGCTGGAAAACTTCACCTTTTCCAGAGTGTCTGGAAGATCTTTACCAGTGGCAACCTCCTTGAACTGTAACGGGGATTTTCAAAATAAAGTATCCAAGAAAAGCAAAACCACTGTACTGTAACAAATAGTTTTGTATTAAACAACACGCCCTGTTTCTTATTTTTTTGCTTCTCTTTCATTCTTTTTATTTCTTATAATACAATAAAAATGTGTTGTTGTTTTTTTTTACTTAAAAACAAAACTTTTCTTAATTGTTTATATAAATAACATTACATGGAAATTACTCTATTTAACAAATGATAAATACATAGTAATTTAAAGTTAAGATTTTCTGTTGTGTCCTTTTCACCATGGCATTGACATATTCAATCAAATTAAGTAACTCTATACCTTCAAAGTGTGTAAGGCAAACACATAATTTAATTTCGAGTTTAGATTGTCTTCTCTGAAAACAATATTATTAAGTAGTTGTTGCTCATTTAAAGCATCATTTCTTGCTACAACTGTCCAGATCCTAGTCTCATCACCTCAACAATAACATAACCAATGACAAACAGATAGATGGCAGCACATGCTATAATCTTTACCTTTATAGTAATCCAATCAGAACCACTGTTACTTAGGCCATAGGCAAAATATTCCCCATTCTCTGAAAAGGCTGTGCCTCTAATAGAAAGGGTCCCATCTTCTGACAAAGCATTAGGATCGAGAAAAACTTTTGCTTCTGCTTCCAAGGACTCTTGGACGTAAAACACACTGAAAGTTTGATCAAAATGAATTTTAGAATGCTGAATAAACAAATAAACAAATAGACAGATAAGTTAAACATTCACACTGATCTATTACTGCCATTATTTGTGGGTACAGGCTTGTCACATCTCCTTTATAACTTTTAGACTGGGCTATTAAACTGGCTTTTTATAATCTGGTCCTTTTGATATACCATTTGTGGTTTAAATTAGTATTATTTTTTAGTCATTTACACACATACATGCACACACACCTACTAGTAAACACGTACACACTCGCACGCGCACACACACACACAGACACACCTACCTCTGATTTTGTAAGCCAGTGTTATAGTAGTAGAAATAGCGGTCTCCTTTCTTGGAAGGACAGCTATACTTTGGGTAGTCCCACATCTCTGTTATTCTGTAAAAACAAACAGCAGAGACTGTCCTCAGAAATACAAAAATAATGCCAGTCTTCAAAAGTTCAAATAACTTCACTTGATCATATGAAATAAAATGAGACAATAAATAACAACTTTGAAAAAAAATCAATAAAAATAAATTATTTTGCATAAAAAAAAACTAAATCTGTAATCAATACATTTTATCAAGAGAAATGCTACCTATCCTTTCATTCAGTCTATTTAAACAAGGACTACACTAAATAAAGTAACATAATAATGATTGTCACAGTGGGTTAAAGAGAGCTCTCTTTCATAAGCAAAACCCCTTCGTACCCACCAACGGCAACCCCCTCTCTCCACCCCGTCTCACATGCAGCCCCCAAATTTCTTTCTCATTTCTCCATCATACCTCTCATTCAGCTTCTTCCTGACGGAACACTTGTCCAAGAAGGGCTCCGTGACTGCATTTTGAGCATCTACGAATTCCTTGGTCTCTTCAGCGTCAGGATCTTCCATCCAGCCATAGGGGTCAGGAACCTAGGGCATTTTAAAAATAAAAGATCATTCTCCATAGAAAACTAGGCTTACTACAGTTGTAGGTTTCGGGAATTAAAGGGATAATAACTCTTCATTTCGGACAAAAAATGAATTTTCCTGGAGTAAACAACAATTTCCCGTACTTACCAATGCTTAATGAATCCATTTTTACATTCAAAGTTAGTCCCTGGTTTTTTTCTAAAAAGTTTGGTTTTTTGTTAAAATCTCTTAAGAGATTTTAACAGATTAAAGCCATCAATGGATGTCACGTGGTCTAAAGACAAGCTCAGATATCAGAATAATAGCTTTAACTGCCAATTTTGTGGTAAAACAGAATATATTATATTTCTATGAGTTATTCACAATGTTTTTATTGTGAAATATAGATCTCATACGAAGAGTTATTATCCCTTTAACCTAATACATTAAACAATATATTCTCCATACAAAACTAGGCTCAGCAGTAGAGGATGGGAATTAACCTAATACATTTAAAAACAGCTAGATTATTCATAGAAAACTAGGCTAATTGTACTAATATTCTTGTAGCTGTGCTCACTTTTCAATCTATTCTAACAAATAACAGGTTAATTTGAGCTATGTAACAGAGAAGTTCTATCTGAATACATACTGGAGTACAGAAAATTGCAGAACATTTGATTTCATTTGAATGCAACATACATCCTACATAAAACAGCAAAATTCACCAAAAAGAAACTCTAGAAACTTGGAAAGATCTTATTCACAGAAATCAAAGGACGAACACATTCTGCAACAATCAACCAAAGTTGATGTAAATGTGATCGGTAACTCTCATACAAAACATATCCTGGGGAAACGCCTAGTACCCTGGGCAGAACATCCTAGTTTCGAGAACAGCACTGAAAACTCTTTCAAATCAAATAGATTTGCATGTATATGTCGATCATGTAATTTGTACCATAATTTTCTGATCATGGATAAAAATGCAAAGATTTTCTGCTCATTTTTTTATTTCTAATTTATTTAATATTATTATTATTACTATAGCCAGGGAAAGATGGGCGGTTCGTTTAACCCCCCACCCCCCCCCACCCCCCACCCTCTCCATTCCGGCTCTGAGACTCTGCAGTAAAGTGGCCGGTTGTTTCATTCAGCATGAACCTGCATGTTTAGCCAATCTTTCAGCACATCGGCTAGAAGTCAAAATATTTCGATGGAAATGTCATATGATATCATTGATGAAAATGAACAACGGGTTTGACATCAGCATTATTTATGTACTGCAGCACAAACAACTCCATGCTGTTTAATGTCATAAAGACTGTGCGTCAGCCAAATGCCTATCAATATCGTCCACGCAATAGCCTCGAATTCGGTATATCACCCTCTTACAGGTGTTTTAAACAAAGTCGTGAGAAAGAGGCCTTGCGGCGGTGTATAAGCAAATTTTACGTTGCCATCGTCTATATTGGATACCAATAAGTGAGTGCCCCTACCTTTGTTCCATGGTAATCCTCCACGCTCGACTCGTCCCTTCTTGCTTTCGGGTACTGGAACATATTCGGAATGCTAACGAAGCGAAACTGAAGAAAGACCAAAAAGAAAACAATGCACAGATGCTGAACTCTTCGGCAACCTCTTCGATCGAGAATCATGCAGGGGACGACGAACAGACAGAAGCAGGAAAGGTCCCACGGGACTGATGCTATTAATGAATTATGCTCATCAGTGTTGCTCATATCCCCCAGATATTATCTATAATCATCCCCAATCCATTACATATTCATTACATATGGCATGTCGGGATTTTCAAGAGAGGCCTACATACTTTAGGAACATAACATTTACAAAACTCTTGAAAAATGCAGACCTTTCACCAAGGAGGGAATTCCAAATCACAACCAACCAATCATAAAATGGACTTGATGACGTCACTGGACGTAAGGTTTCTATAAATAGAACACAAACAGTGAGTATATAAAAGGTGGACATTTAATTTATTGATCGTAATACATATATTGGAGAGGATATTCCTCCGTTTTGCAATGATTTGTACGTTGCAGGTGACTTGCGAATAGTAAAGGACGTTCTTGAAGTATTATGAAGGAGCTTCGAGCCAGTAGCACCTAGTAAGGGAATCGATGCTTCGATCTGCAAATAATTTTCACAACACAACATGGCCGACACGAGTTGTATGAAGAAGGTTACTAACGCTGTTGACTCGCTATCCGAAGGTCATTTGAAATATGAGACATCGTCAGCGGATTCGTCTTATGATAGTTTTCCCTTCTGGCATTTGTCGCCAGATTTATTTTCGAGCAGGTTAAGTGTGACAGAGAATTTAGATTCAGATAAAGATGAAATACATCCTGGTTCGAATAACAGAAAATCAGAAGGGAATTTCGCCAAGTCTGCAAGCAACACATCACCAAGAAAGAAAAAGAGAGGCAAAGTAAGAAAGTCAAGTCGGACAAAAACACAAGGTTTTGTAAACACAGTGTCAGAAATGAACGCCACTGTGAATGATTCAACCGTCACGTCCTCTGAACAAGATGGCCCGCCTGCTTTGGGTGGCTTACATAGGCAATTAATGGAAGAAATTGAACGCTTTGACTCCAAAACTTTAACTCACCCACGTGGTTCTTTCAGAACCAACCCTTGTGGATCTTTCAGGCGTATGGGCCCGTTTGGTTGTATCATAAAAGTACCCCATGAGCCAGAAGGGAGCATATCTAGCACCGAGGCATGGGACACAGACTGGGACAGCGACGGGTGGGACAACAGTCCCGAAGATGACGACACTTTGATCCCTGACCTTGAGGCAGCTGCCCAGCAGCTACAGATGTTATTGGCCAGGGAAGATTTGGCTGAAGAGATGGGGTGGGGGCTGCGAGAAAACCACCCCGCCAAACCCCCCTTTCCCCTGGGGCCCTTACAGACCACCGAGTGTATGGTGTGCTTTGACACACGCGACCTTCACCTCCGCCATTGCTGTCAGCTGCCTGTCTGCAATGAATGTTTGAAAGAATATTTCAGAACCCAAGTGGAGCAGGCCAATGTTAAACTGGGTTGCGTCAACCCGAGCTGTGATGCCTATGTCCACAGAGATGAGATCATTTTCATGTTAGAGCCTGAAATGAAGGACAAATTCTACCGCTTTCTCGTCGATGCAAACAAAGAGCCTCATGTCAAAACTTGCCCGCGCTGCAGCAAGATCATGACTCTAAAAAAGGAAGACTTGACACAGTCCAAGTCGATGAAAGCAGGGTACTCTGTCACCTGTACGGAGTGCCACCTAGTGTGGTGTTTTCCATGCCAGGCCCCATGGCACGAAGGCGTAACGTGCAAGCAGTTTAAGAAAGGAGACAAGCTGCTACGACAATGGGCCAAAGAGTACCATTATGGTCAACCCAATGCTAAGAGGTGTCCTAGCTGTAAGGTAAGATTAAAATTATTGGAGTATAAGGTGGAGAAAGGAGGGGGGGGGGAGAATGAATAAAAAAATCCATGTATATATACCTGAAAAGTGCCCCAGCAGTTCTATTTGGAATATTATCCGGGGAAAGTTGGGGGGGGGGGGGGGGGGGTTGACCAAAAAAAAAAAACCCTGCACAGTGGAGTGACCAAGTTGCAAAGTGGGTTTTGAATTATTTGGAGTATAATCTGGGGAACAAGTATTGAATTCAATAAAATGTCTGCACATGTATCTGAAAGGTGACCCTGCTGCAAGGTGGGTTTAAATGGAATATNGAAAAATTTTTTTCCTTTTTTTTTTTTTTTTTTTTTTTTTAATTTTTTTTTTTTTCTTTATACCCGGGGAAAATGGGGGGTTTTTTTTACCCCCCCCCCCCCCCCCCCCCTCTCCATTCCGGCTCTGAGACTCTGCAGTAAAGTGGCCGGTTGTTTCATTCAGCATGAACCTGCATGTTTAGCCAATCTTCCAGCACATCGGATAGTAGTCAAAATATTTCGATGGAAATGTCATATAATATCATTGATGAAAATGAACAACGGGTTTGACATCAGCATTATTTATGTTCTGCAGCACAAACAACTCCACGCTGTTTAATGTCATAAAGACTGTGCGTCAGCCAAATGCCTATCAATATCGTCCACGCAATAGCCTCGAATTCGGTATGTTACCCTCTTACAGGTGTTTTAAACAAAGTCGTGAGAAGGAGGCCTTGCGGCGGTGTGTAAGCAAATTTTACGTTGCCATCGTCTATATTGGATACCAATAAGTGAGTGCCCCTACCTTTGTTCCATGGTAATCCTCCACGCTCGACTCGTCCCTTCTTGCTTTCGGGTACTGGAACATATTCGGAATGCTAACGAAGCGAAACTGAAGAAAGACCAAAAAGAAAACAATGCACAGATGCTGAACTCTTCGGCAACCTCTTCGATCGAGAATCATGCAGGGGACGACGAACAGACAGAAGCAGGAAAGGTCCCATGGGACTGATGCTATTAATGAATTATGCTCATCAGTGTTGCTCATATCCCCCAGATATTATCTATAATCATACCCAATCCATTACATATTCATTATATATGCCATGTCGGGATTTTCAAGAAAGGCTTACATACTTTAGGCACATATCATTTACAAAAGTCTTGAAAAATGCAGACCTTTCACCAAGGAGGGAATTCCAAATCACAACCAACCAATCATAAAATGGACTTGATGACGTCACTGGACGTAAGGTTTCTATAAATAGAACACAAACAGTGAGTATATAAAAGGTGGACATTTAATTTATTGATCGTAATACATATATTGGAGAGGATATTCCTCCGTTTTGCAATGATTTGTACGTTGCAGGTGACTTGCGAATAGTAAAGGACGTTCTTGAAGTATTATGAAGGAGCTTCGAGCCAGTAGCACCTAGTAAGGGAATCGATGCTTCGATCTGCAAATAATTTTCACAACACAACATGGCCGACACGAGTTGTATGAAGAAGGTTACTAACGCTGTTGACTCGCTACCCGAAGGTCATTTGAAATATGAGACATCGTCAGCGGATTCGTCTTATGATAGTTTTCCCTTCTGGCATTTGTCGCCAGACTTATTTTCGAGCAGGTTAAGTGTGACAGAGAATTTAGATTCAGATAAAGATGAAATACATCCTGGTTCGAATAACAGAAAATCAGAAGGGAATTTCGCCAAGTCTGCAAGCAACACATCACCAAGAAAGAAAAAGAGAGGCAAAGTAAGAAAGTCAAGTCGGACAAAAACACAAGGTTTTGTAAACACAGTGTCAGAAATGAACGCCACTGTGACTGATTCAACCGTCACGTCCTCTGAACAAGATGGCCCGCCTGCTTTGGGTGGCTTACATAGGCAATTAATGGAAGAAATTGAACGCTTTGACTCCAAAACTTTAACTCACCCACGTGGTTCTTTCAGAACCAACCCTTGTGGATCTTTCAGGCGTATGGGCCCGTTTGGTTGTATCATAAAAGTACCCCATGAGCCAGAAGGGAGCATATCTAGTACCGAGGCATGGGACACAGACTGGGACAGCGACGGGTGGGACAACAGTCCCGAAGATGACGACACTTTGATCCCTGACCTTGAGGCAGCTGCCCAGCAGCTACAGATGTTATTGGCCAGGGAAGATTTGGCTGAAGAGATGGGGTGGGGGCTGCGAGAAAACCACCCCGCCAAACCCCCTTTTCCCCTGGGGCCATTACAGACCACCGAGTGTATGGTGTGCTTTGACACACGCGACCTTCACCTCCGCCATTGCTGTCAGCTGCCTGTCTGCAATGAATGTTTGAAAGAATATTTCAGAACCCAAGTGGAGCAGGCCAATGTTAAACTGGGTTGCGTCAACCCGAGCTGTGATGCCTATGTCCACAGAGATGAGATCATTTTCATGTTAGAGCCTGAAATGAAGGACAAATTCTACCGCTTTCTCGTCGATGCAAACAAAGAGCCTCATGTCAAAACTTGCCCGCGCTGCAGCAAGATCATGACTCTAAAAAAGGAAGACTTGACACAGTCCAAGTCGATGAAAGCAGGGTACTCTGTCACCTGTTCGGAGTGCCACCTAGTGTGGTGTTTTCCATGCCAGGCCCCATGGCACGAAGGCGTAACGTGCAAGCAGTTTAAGAAAGGAGACAAGCTGCTACGACAATGGGCCAAAGAGTACCATTATGGTCAACCCAATGCTAAGAGGTGTCCTAGCTGTAAGGTAAGATTAAAATTATTGGAGTATTAGGTGGGGAAAGGAGGGGAGGGGGGGATGAATCAAAAAATCCATGCATATGTACTCCTGAAAAGTGCCCCAGCAGCACTATTTGGAATATTATCTGGGGAAAGTGGGAGGGGGAGGGTGTTGACTAAAAAAAAAAAAAACCTGCACAGTCGAGTGACCAAGCTGCAAAGTGGGTTTTGAATTATTTGGAGTATAATCTAGGGAACAAGTATTGAATTCAATAAAATCCTTGCACATGTATCTGAAAGGTGACCCTGCTGCAGNACATGTATCTGAAAGGTGACCCTGCTGCAAGGTGGGTTTAAATGGAATATTATCTGGAGATGATGGGATGTTGGGGGGGGGGGGGGTATTAGTAAATCCAAAAAATTATCCAGTATGCAAGTTATCTAGACAAAAATTCAGGTCTGTACCTAGTTGGGGAGGGGGGGGGTGAAGAAAGAACTGCCCTTTCAATCAGAAAAGATCAGCTCTATATCAGGATTTGATATTGGTTGTTGGTTCCATGCCATTTCGAGAGTTGTACCAATTGTAGGTAAAAAAGTCAACTTTTTCAAAAATAAAAAAATAGAGACCCCATTGAAATTGCTCATGTATAGACCTGAATTTTGTATTCATGAATAAGTGTAAATATATATATAAAGATTAATTTGCCTTATTGTGTATATATATATATATATATATATATATATATATATATATATATATATATATATATATATATACACACACACACACAATAAGGCAAATTAATCTTTTCACATGAATTACCCATTGTGTTATTTTTAGCTTTAATTTTCTGATTATCCATTAAAGGTAAAAGGTAACGACCTGAATTCTCCTTAAAACTTGTATCCATTGTGTCAATTTCTTCATTTCCAGCAAGTGTGGCATTATAACAACTGGTAATTTGATATATAACGTACAAATGTTAGATCAAATCCTTTTGTAAAACTGCTTGTGACATAAGGAAATAAGGAAGTAAAATAAAACAGTTAACCTCAAGATCTCAGGTGTACCCAAGACCTCGAATTGCAATTAACATTATGCGTTTGGGGGGGGGGAGGACCTCCAAAACAGAGGTTATCGCCATTATTTTGGAATCTGTACTTGCTACTGGACCACATGACCTCGATAGATGGCTACCCTCTGTAAAAATATCTTATACATTATTACAAAAAAAGCAAAATTTTTAGAAAAAAACAGGGACTAACTTGGATTGTTTGTACTGAAAATTGTCATTTACCCGAGGAAAATCCATTTTTGGCTAAAATGAACAGTTGTTTTTTCCTTGAAGCACATTTACTGGCAGTCAATTTTCAGTTATAAATACACTTTTGTCCAGAGTAAGAGCTGATGTTCAGAGCTAGTATACAAGTTAAGTCATCTAAGCCTCAGAAATTTTAAAGACTTTGAAATTTTAAAGACTGTGAAGTGTGCTCTAATCAGGTCTGTACATTTAAATGAGTTTCTGAACATGGTGACATAGGAATCTTTTTGGTGTCTTTCTGATGAACTCAGTTTATGATATGTTGGTATTAACTGATTGGTGATTGATTAATTAAATACAATCTGTTTTGCTCACAGGATTAGACACACATGATTTGCAGGACTGATAAATTAACTGTCACTGTGATACTAGTACAATTGTCAAGTCACACGGTGGAGAAATTTGATATCATTTCTGCTATCTCCGCGCTCCTATTTATAGTACAGTACTCATGTTTTGAAATTTGTTGATCATGTATTCTTCTGCAGAAGGACAATATGGTATTTGCTCAAAAAGTTTGAATCAGTTTGATTTTTAGAATTGTGATTTATGCATTCTGAAGTCCTGAAACTAATGTTTATTATAAATTGAAAATATTGATATATAATGAAAATATATATTGTTGAAATTGTGTTGAAAACTCGAGTTAATTTGAACAGATTTGAAAAGGTAATTTTCCAAATATTTTATGTTTACGTAACACCTGAAAAAAAAAAAAGATAATAAAATCTTCTCAAAACTTTGGTTTTTTATGAGTAGCACCTGCGTAGGATTTTTTTTTTTTTTTCTTAAATTTACCTGAAACAAAAGATAAGGAAGGAGAGAATATTGAAATGAATGAAGTACCATAAAATACAATAAACATACAATATCTCATTTGTAACTTAGATCCTGGGACATGTACACATAGGGATATTTCATGCAATAACAGGAACTCAGAGTCTACATCCTAATGAGATTCTATAGAGTGTACTTAGCACCTGACATCGCACTTACTGTACTAGGACAGTGCGATTTCACACTAGAGAGCTTTATAATTTGACGTAACAGGGGCCCTGAGTTAAATATTCCAAGAAGTCTTCATTCCTGGAGGACTTGTCGTCTAGGTCTGTTTGTTAGTCTGCCATTTCAATATGCACTCATTGCAGGTAAATTCAGGACATGGCAGATGTTATTTTATAAATATAATAGTTAACTAATGAAGACGTCCCGGAACAGGCCCCATGCAGTTCATTTGGGGATTTAACATACAGGATTAAAAAGGGTCCCTTGTTAATTAGTGGTGTTAATTGGTCTGTTTCTGTCTAAAATTAGTCTGTTTTCTGTCTGAAATTATTCCGTTTTCTGTCAAAGTTTTCCCCTGTGTGAGCATTCTCTCAGGTTGGAATACACACACACACACATACACACACACACGCATACACACACATGTAAACACACAAACATGCTCTTTCTTTCTCTGTCTGACAATTACACATACTAGTATCTCTCTCTCTCTCTCTCTCTCTTGCCATTGAGTGCTTGCCATTGATAGAGCTTTGACTTATACTTGTTTTTGCTTGTGCTGAGAGAGGTTTGAACAGCATGTTAGAATTTTTTTATCTTATTCACTAAGATAATGCCAAAATAAACCTTGTCATGTTACGTGATAATGTTGTCACGTTGAAAAATACAGTGTGGTGAATGTGTTTATTCGAGCTGATGATGTTACAGCAGCTTTTTGGTGGGTTAAAACTGAATTTATTGATTTCTGGCAGATCTCCCTTACAGTACCTGAATGGCTGTTAACTCTGTTTTTAACGCTTATTTAATCACAACAGTACTAGTACAAGTAAGTACTAGTACTATAAATCTTGGAAGGGTTTTATCAGTAAAGAGGAGAAGTAATGCTTTTTTTAAATAGATACTCATAATAATAGATGACGTGTGAATAGATACTCCTAAACAAAAAACTTATGGCTCCATTCAGAATAACTACGTACAACTGTGTCAAACCATACAATGACACTTCCTAGGTATCACCATCACGCCATTTTTTTTTTTTTTTAATATCTTTCTTAGTTACAGAGATATATATCACGGAGTGATCACTGTATTATAAGACAGATTTACAAAACGGCAAAATTAATGATATACTAGTAAATGCTGTCTGTAGGGAGAGGCACCTATGGTGGTAAATAAAACCAAAAGGGAGTTCTTACCCAGTAGGTATTTATTTTTATGTGATAGTTATTTCATATAAAAGAAAGGGGAAACTATCCAAATATAGGCCTTCAGTTATAATGTATCAAACCCGAATGTATCATATCTTTAAGGGACAATTTTGTGAGACTTAGGCATGGAAAAAGTCAAGTGCATACATTTTTAGTCCACAGAAAACACCCAGGTAAAGAAGGGCTTGATTCACAATGCAGCTCTATTCACACCAGATTTAATTTAGACAGGAAATTTTTTTATTGTCATTACAAAACGATCTGGATTCACAATACAATTCATTCATTTGAATATTCTCAGTGAATACATAACTAGAAAAAAAAACATGAGTAGAGGCAAATTGAATACACCATGAAAAGCATAAAAATGTAAAACATACTGGTACTGTACACACAAAGGAATAGTTCGAGTTATTTAAGACCAAAGTACAAGGATATGACACAGTATTTGACAATAGACTGCCATAAAAGCACAACTGGATCGAATTTGTGACTCTTCCAATACGGGCTGTAAGATTAAGAGATGTGACTCAGGCTGCAGTTTTATGGTAATTTATCACAAATTTTGAACACCATACTTTTCTTCCAAACGTTATCAGAATTACAGGATATCATTGTGGTTTTTAAAACTACTCACATAAAAAAAACAATCTTTTTCAATTGATATTGACCCACCTCATTATTTTTCTAACACACATTTTAGGTAAATTAAATAATTAACCTTAAAAAAAAAGAAATTATATGATTTATGGATTTTGTTCAAAATTAGAGAATAAGTACCATTAAATATTGACAATTCAGTGACTTGCATCATCAGAATACTGACTTCTGGAAAGAAAAAAATGATTATGGGATTTCTTGGTATGCGGCTTGTCTGCAATGGGGGGTTGAGTACAGTATGCAGTTTTTATGGTCATAAATGTTCCTATTATTTTGTTATATAGCTTGTACTAATGTAAAAGGCATGCACCATCCTTTTGAAATAAAGGAACTATCACAATAACCCCTGCTAAAAAATGACAGTTGTATGCAAAACAAAGAATTTATATATATACCCGTATCTGTTCACTTGGCTTATTCATGGTGATAATTACTGTAACTAAGATATTATTCATGGTGATAGCAAAAATTGGGCCCCAAATCTCTCTCTCTCTCTCTCTCTCTCTCTCTCTCTCTCTCTCTTTTAAGTGTGAAAATAGTTTATGATGGTTGGCAAAAACTAAGTGGCGAGGACCCTAGAAAATTTTTCATTTTTTTTTTTTTATGTGCCAGAATCATGTGAACAGTGGAGTTGGTTTAACCTGTGTTATCTGCATATTATATGTTTTTGTATTATATTGATTTAAAATCTATTTTGGCTATCAGTTACACATGTAAGACTTTTCTCTCTCTATTTCAGATTTTCATCCAACGTACAACGGGATGTGATCACATGACCTGTTCTGGCTGCAAGACAGAGTTCTGTTACCGCTGTGGAGAAAGATTCCGAGAGCTGAAATTTATTGGCAACCATTACAACCGCCTCAGTATATTTGGCTGCAAGTACAAATACCTGCCTGAGAAACCAGTGCAGAGGAGGCTGATTAGAGGGTCCATTTTTGGTAATATTTCTGCTCTCTCTCTCTCACTCTCTCTTCAGAATAGAAGTGATATTAGTAGCAGGATCATTCTGTCTCAGCAGGGCTTCTAGGTAAAGCGCAGTCAATATAATCAGCCTAATTGTCTGGCACTGGCATCCCCCTTGCTAATCAACATGAACACAATGTGGACCATAAGGTTTTCCTCACTTGACCCAAGTGCTTTAAGTAACTACTAAAAAGCCTACTGCATGATCCCAAGGGGAAATCTATTCAGTGTGTAATAGAGGAATACATGATTATTATTATTATTATTAATATTATTATTATTATTATTATAGCAGCTGGCAAACAGATAGAAGCTCTTCTCAACTGAATTTTGATTTAATTTCTGTTACAGGTGGCAAACTGTTAGCAGCGCCTCTATTGGCTGGCTTGGCCATTGGTGCCGGCGGAGTTCTGCTGGGTATAGGCGCCATTGCTCTCCCCTTCTATGCCAGTTATAAGCTCCACAAGTTTATAAGTCACAAGAAAATGTTGAAAAGGCAGCGAAGACGACAGGAGGAGATCAAAAGAAGAATGCAGCAAATGAGAGATGAGTACAAGAGGAATGTGGAATGTGGGTATAATTTTTATTTATTTATTTATTTATTTATTTATTTATTAAGTTTATTTTTGGTTGGGGGTTCCAAAGAAGTGCCTTAAAGCTGGAAAAAGTCTATTATGCAGGGGTAAATTTTGGACCAAGTGACAAAAATACTCGCATTAGATATATATATATATATGGATGGATTTTGATATTTAGTTTATTACAAAATCAAACAGTCAGTTTCAGTGTTCTCATTTTTTGTTGCAATTAAAAAAAACATGAAACAAGCTTCATAGCAAACAAAACTGGGTTGTTGTCATATTAACCGTGTTTCTTTTGTTTCTTTCAGTGCGCAAGCGTAGCCTTGAGCCAAGAGCTCCCATAGTGAGCGATTTCTGTTGGCCTATTCTGGAAATCCCAGTAGACATCAATCACCTCGCAGCACAATCTTCTGAACCACCGAGCGTTTCAAACACAGGTTCGAACAACGTGGATGATGAAGAAGAAGAATCAGACTTTGAATTTGAAGATGATGACATTGTCTTGAGTGAGTTGCTTGGCCTGCCAATGATTGATCCTAACATATCCAAGTATTTTTTGAAAGTTGGCCAAGCTCGTGGAAAATCGCAAGAAAAGAGCGAAGAACAAGATGCAAGTGGGCCCAGTTCTTCATCAGATGGTAGCCATGTACCAGGAGAACAGGCGGGTGAAAATTGCAATCAAGTTGATCTCAATTCCCAGGAAGCAGCAGGGCCATCAAATCCTGGCATCTCAAATCACCATAGAAACCCAATAGATGTTGCTATAACAACTGAAAAGGATACAGCTTTGCCACCAGTGCAACCAGTTTGGCAGAAGTTTTCATTTCAAGAAAGGCTGGAACCAAACCTAGCACATCCTAGTGTTGTGGGATCTACTTCTATAGAAGAAGACAAAGAAACTGGAGAAGTTATTTTTATCACAAAATTGTGAACATAAAAACATCTAGGAAGATTGGGCTCAAGCTAGACATGAATGCAGTCTCAGATGTGTACAGTAATTAACCGCTGTATTCAAACCAATCCAACAAAACAAGGTTTTGTGAAAAGTAATTCTTATTGTAAAATGAAGTTGTGTTAATGACGGAAGTGCTTTTTTGGAGTAACTAAAGATAGAAAATCATGAAAATAAGGAATACTTGAAAAAGGAGTGTTTGATGTATACAGTTAATTACTGTAACTAAGATATTTTTCAACCACAATATATCAGCCAATTCTATCACAATTGTCTAAAAAGCAAAAAGAAAATACGTAGCTAAAACGGTTATATATTTTATGATGATTATCAGTGTATTTTCTCATTACCTGTGTGTGATATTAATTATAGAAAATTAGCCTGCTAATTAAGGCCTAGAATTGCCATGTTCTCACTTAAAGGTGTGATTGCCATTCTTTTGCCCCTCAAGGTCAGGAATGCCCATTGTCCATTTAACACCCAGGTGAAAAAGGTGACAGGCTATCGTGTTCATATTAGAAAATGATCGATCATGTTTTCACTTCTTCACATGGCACAAAGAATATTGATTCAAATGCAATTAAACAAGTTATTCAACACTTCAAAATATTTTCAAACAAGTCAAAACAAATAAAGAAACTTCTATGATACAAGCCATAAGCCATGTGATATTCCTCCTTTCTTTCCACTTTCTAAAATTGGATTTCTACATGCTTTAAAAATGTGACATTCTCTGGTGATGGAAAATAATTTCTGTGACTCTTTATGATAACTTTTAGAAAAAAGCCTTGCTGCATTACAGATAAAAATGACTACATGCGAGTTACAGTATAATATAAAATAAATATTACTTATGATTGTTCGTTTCACATTGCAGTCGTGAAGGTGTTTTAATTTGCTCTCTTTAGAGTAATTATAGAACATGACTTCAGGTATAAATAGCGTTCATGCTTGAGGATTTGAATTATATATTTTTGCTTAAGGGTATGAAATGTTTTAATGCCTGAGGGTAGAAATTATATTTATGCCTAAGGTTATAAATATTGTGTTTATGCCATACTATGGTCATAAAAGGCTGGGCTGTCACACATTTATAAACTGAACATTCCTGCTATGTAGGCAAGCATTCATACTGAGTTTACTATTGTCTTTTTCTGTGCTAATAGATGTGAACATTTATGTAGCCCTGGAGTTTGGCTCATCTTGTGTTACTAAATAGAGATTGTCTTGTGTGACATGAACATCCAGCATTGTGGAAGGTCAACTGCATGTATTTGCACCAGTAAAGTCTGTGTGTACATTTCACTTGGTGTGAAAGCCTGTTCATGGGATTTTTGCATAAAAAATCTGGTACCAGCAAAAATTTTTGTCAGTTTATTAAAATTCCAGTACTGAAACCATGGAATTACATGTGGCAGACTCCATATAATTATGCACTTTATAATTCATATCTCTTTTTTTATCAGCTGAAACTTTATGAACTCATGTTTTCCAATCCTAAAGATTTCTACAGTCTGCTGTATGTGGTGGATAGATTAAAGACAGGAATAGTTCCATTAGCACAAAATGTACAGATTCAGTAAATTCAGGCCTACCCAACTACCAGACTCGGCACATAAGGATCCTGAATTAACCGGTACATCGGACCACACTACCCGTTGTCAAGGTGTGTGTCAGATCGCATTTCGGAGTATCATACCCCAGAACAATTTGTAGGACGACCGCGGGCTCATCCTGTCGGTGTTCTGACTGATACTCCGAAATGCGATCTGACACACACCTTGAAAACGGCTAGTGTTGTCCGATAAACCGGTTAATTCAGGATCCTTATGTGCCGAGTCTGGTAGTTGGGTAGGCCTGAATTTGGAAAATTATTGTATATGTAATTGATTTTCATGAATCTGTCAACTACAGTGGAACCACATAAGCAGGCATGCAGGTTGTGGAATTCATTTTCTTCTTCTGGCATTTTGCAAATGATCTAACATTTTGCAGAGCAAGGTCGACTCGGGCACAGGTGTGTTAATGCATGGTGACTGTAAACTAATGAAGTGGATACTCTCTGTCAGAGGTCCCTTCTAGCTGTTGTAGAAGTTACAACTTTTTTTTTTTTTTACAGCTAGTGCAGTTAGACGGTACCGAATAATATGATTGTTGAATTGTGCAATATATAAATATATATGTGAGTGTGTTGCTGTTTTAATTGTTTTTGGTGGAAATTATCCTGTGTATTTTCATGATGTATATGAACCTTTGAGTATAAAACAATGCAATCCTGCTCAAACAAATGCAGTTAGACATTCTTTGTTTAGTTTCTGTGACGTCAAGCACTAGCTACATGCATGAATTATGTAGCGAACATAATTAGTTGTTTTTCTTTAAAAAAAATTGATATGTAACTGAATCCTTCCAACAGTGAGTTTACAAATAAGAGGACTTATAACAGTATCTAAAAAATATTAATTGATGGTCCTGGTTGTTTTACAAACATAACACAGAAATTATGATTATATTTTGTGCAGCATATAATAAGCTACTTGACTGCTATGTACGCAAGTATAACTAGCCTTCAGTTATTCAAGAAAGTTGACATTTATCCAAGTTGTTTTATTTGTGAAGTAGAATTTTCGTTCAAAATCAGGTAAGTAATTAGATCTAATTACTTCTCGTTGTATACAAATCAGATAATGACAAGTGTTAAGACGTGATCATCAGAGGTGTGGTCATGTGACCAAACCGCGTGATGATTCCAGATTTTCTTTTATGTAGAGAAAATAAACTGGAAATGTTTTGTTGTTATACTGTCATTGATGTCCTCATTTTAGCAACCATCCTGCTTCCAAATACATGTATTTATTTCATTTTTTCATAAATGAAATTATTAATTCGGTGATCTTAAAAAAGGAATGAGTGGAACCATAGGGGCCGATGATGGGCGGAACCAACGTGGAACGTGGCTTTTCATCACAAATAAATGGAAATTTAAAGAGCGACTTCAGACTGAAAACTGCTATTTTATTGCCCCTGTGTCTTATTGTTTTAAGTATCCAACTCGGCCACCGTTGTCTTTTTCTCTTTATATACAGACTAATTCACCCCTACCCTCTGATATCAGGGACTTTTAACATAGTACACAGAATACAAGTACCAACCCCTGTTGGAAAACATCCAATCTGCCCGTCTGGGTCCAGTTTCTTCAACACTGGACAGCGCTATCCATTGGATAATTTTTTTATCCTCTGGGCAGATATCCTGTGGGAAAAGTAATGTTTCCAAAATGCTGGACAAATATTTTTGTTTCTGATGTTGCTATCCAATGGTTAAAATGGTTGGTTGCTGCAGGACAACTGTCCATAGGATAACAATTTTATACAGTGGATAGTGTTATCCATAGGATAGCGCCACCCAGTGTTGATGAAACTGGGCCCAGTTACCCCTCCCCTTACACGGTTGCTCAGCAGCAGTCGAGGAAGATACAATAATTGCGCAACAGATTAGTAGTAGCGCAGCCTGTAGCCAGAGAGTAACACATCCCCGTGTTTGCATGTGAATTACGCCTGCCTCTTCTCTATAGGCGGATTTATATTAATCAGGGGGGGGGGGGGGGGG